GTCGAGTCGGCCCCAACTCATAGCGACCCCTCCTTGGGTTTCCGAGGCAGTATCACTACGGAAGTAGGATTGCCCAACCTTCCTTCTGAGGAGTGTTGCCTATTCCAGACATTTCTTAAAAATGGAATTATTCTGTATTTGTCCTGTGTGTCTGGCTTCTTTAGCTTAGCATAATTTTTTAAATTGTTTGTTTATGTTATCTCCACATTGCCATTTTTTTTTTTCTTTTTGAACATTTTACTGTGGTTTGGGTGAAAAGTTTACAGAGAAAATTAGTTTTCTCCTCAACAATTTAAAAGGTATCAAGGAACACTTTGCAGTACCTCCTCTGGGGGGTGTGATAGTTAAATTTGTGTGTCAGCGTGGCTGGGCCTGGTTAAGTCACTGGGGAGCTAGATGTAGCATTTCCCATGATGGGACTGATAATCAACTCCATGGTGGAATCTACTGTGAGCAGCTGAGGAGCTGCCTTAGGGATGTGGTCTGCTTCCTGTACATAAGGAGAAGTCTTGGGGAATGGTCTCTAGCTTATGACACACTTGAACCCTGCATGTAGCCATGTCATTGTTCAGCAGCCTGCCATGCTCTGCAGACCTTGGGACTTTCAAGGGACTTGAATGAATGGCCTGCCATGTGGTTTGGTAACATCGGGACTGTGACTTTTTACTTGTCAGACATGGGCTTGTCAGTCTCAGCAGCCAGTAGCTGTCTGAGTGAAGAAAAGCTTCTAGCTCCAGTGGGCCAGGAGCAGAAGGCAGAGCTGAAGCCCAAGGTTGAAAAGTCTTCACCCAGCCCCTAGAGCCTGACACTTTGAACTCAGACTTAAAGCCTCCAAACTGTAGGAGAATAAACTCCTGTTCGTTAAAGTCATCCCATCTGTGGTATATTCTTGTCAGAGCGGCACTAGGTAACCAAAACAGGGGGTATGACCACCTGTACTGGCCAACAACCAGACTAGTCTGGCTATTCATGCAAGCCTCATAATATTATCTTCTACTAGTGTAAATATTACTGGGACAGGAGAAGGAAAGGGGTGGCCCACAGACCTAAAGAGACTGGGCCAGGATGCAGCACTGCTTTCCCATAAGATCCCCTAATAAACTTGATGCCTTTTAGAGTGACTCCAAGTCAGCAGTCTCTCTGTGCAAAGTTATTCTGAGGCATTTGTCTTCTTGGGTCTGAACCCCAATACCAGACCCTACCCTGTACATCTCCTTGTATCCTTTCTGAATAACTGTTTACGTATAGATATTTTCTGTGAATTCTGTGAGCTGTTCCAAGGAATTGAGAAGATCACAGAGACAATGAGCCAGCAAGAGCTGGCATTTACCTAACTGCAAGTTTAAAGGACAGAGTCCTTCTAATTTATGGGTTCTACTTCAGCTGAGTGGCTGGGGTTCAGAGAAATGCAACATACACAGCTGGTCTCATACATGGTGCCTACATAACTTGTGACTTAGTTCTGGTTGGCTGGGGTCATAGAGAGAATGGCATTTGGGCAGCTGGCAACAAAGAAGTGGGAAGATGAGGACTGGATCCATTTCTAAGTGGGAACTGGATTCATGCTGATCCATACCATGAAGTTAGCAATAAAGGTGGGATCTGCCCACTGTGGTCCCCTTGCCTATTATAGTGCAATCATACTTAATGACATTAAACTGCTGAAAATCACTTGAAAAGAAGCCAAGGGGGGAAAAAAATGTTGCCATCTAGTGGATTCTAAGTTAGCCTTATAATAATACACAGAACAACAATATAATCACTGGTTTCTCATCAGAAACAAGAGAGGTCAGATGATAGAACAGTATCTTTAAAGTGCTAAAAGGGAGGGGAAGAAAAAAATCAACCCATAATTCTGTGTCCAATGAAAATATCCTTCAACAATGAAGGCAATTTAGAGAACATTGATTGAGCTTCTATTAAAGGTAATGGAAAAATTTGGGAATGGTTAATGGTGATGGCTAAATAGTATGATGAACATATTTAAGATCACTGAACTGTGCATGTAAAGACTACTAAAATGGTAAATGTTCTGTTGCTTATATATTTACCGTAATAAAAATAAAAAGTTCAAAAAAAAATTTTTCAAAAGCCAGAATGAAGACAAAATAAGAACATTTTCCAGTAAGTTAAAACTAAGAGAATTCATCACTAACAGAGCTGCACCATAAAAGGAAGTTCTTCAGGCTGAAAGGAAATAATACCAGAAGGAAATTCATGTCTTCAGGAAGGAATGAAGAGCACTAAGAAACGGTAAGTATAAAAGACTAATGTTTTTCTTAATTTATTTAAGATATATATGATTGTTTAAAGTAAAAATAATCACATTGTATGGAGGGATTTATGGCTTAAATGTCATCTACAACATAAAGGTAAAGACAAAGGATAAATGCAACTATACATATGAGATTACACATTTTATGTGAAAAGGTATAATACTACTACAAAAACTACAAATGTTAAGGATGTATATTGGAATCCTATGGGCATCCATAATGCAAAGAGGTAGAGCCAAAAAAGTAATATACAAACTTAAATTCTAAACTTTAGTAAAATTCAGAGAAAAACTGCAATCAAATTTTAAAATGGTAGATCTAAATCCAGTCACACCAATAAAGGACATTGTTGGGTTAATTGAAAAATCAAGAGTATAAGTGACAGATCAAACAAAAGTTATTGTTATCAGTGTTAAATTTACCAAAATTAATAATTACACTGTATGTAGTGTGTAAAAGGAAACCTTCTTCCAAGAAATGCACAGTGAATTATTTAAAGGGCCATAATCTTTGCAACAGGGAGCTCTGGTAGCATAGTGGCTAAGACACTTGCCTGCTAACCAGATGGCTGGCGGTTCAAACCCACCAGCCACTCCTCGGAAGGAAGGTTGGGCAATCCTACTTCCGTAGTAATACTGCCTCGGAAACCCAAGGAGGGGTCGCTATGAGTCAGGGCTGACTTGACGGCACATAACAACAACAATCTTTGCAACTTACTCTCACATAGGTCAAGAAAAACAATGTGTGTGCATTTGTATACACAAAGGGAGAGAGTACAATGATAAAGCCAGTGGAGTAAAATGGTAACAAAAACTAAATTTGGAAGAATCTGAACAATGATTCTTTTCCTAAGTTTTCATTCTTGCAACTTTTCTGTAAGTATGAAATTATTTAAAAACAGATTTAATGAAAGATAATTATAAAAATATTATAAAAATTTTAAAATTTGCAAAATTAAGGTAAGTGGTATAAAGCAAAATGTACACTGTATATGTAACTACATGTGTAAGAGTATTTTTAAAATATATGTGTGTGGACAGAGACTTACAGAAATGAAAATATCTGTTTCAGGCAAATGAAAATAACAAAATTTAACAAAGTTGCAGAAGTGATAAAATTTTAACTACTTGTGAATCTAGGTAAAAAGTAAAAATCATACTAGAATGTATAATATACTTTTAATTTTTCTGGCAGACTAGAATTTTTCAAAGACAAAAATCATTTGAAAAAACAAAAAATAACTACATAGCAGCATAATAATCTGAATCAATAAAAGTAGAAATAATTAAATAACACCAAATAACAAATAATGCTACTCAGAATATCCTGATGGTAATATTTGATACAAACATTTCGGTACCTATGAATACATATTAGTTTTTAAAACATATTTTAAGCAAAAATGGAATTCTACTGGGCATGTTTTATAACCGCTTTTTTCATTTTATAGCATAGTGATCACAATTCTGGTCAATAAACATATCTGTATAATCTCTAGTAGTGTAGTACCCAAGATACTTCATTGCTAACCAGAAGGCTGACGGTTCAAACCCACAAACCAGTCCTCAGAAGGAAGGATGGGCAATCTACTTCCATAGTGATACTGTCTCAGAAACGCAAGGAGGAGTCGCTATGAGTTGGGTCTGACTCGACAGCACATAACAACAACATAATCTCAAAACATTTAATAAGGCTATCATAGCATAATTACAATTAAGACAAAAGAACTAGAAAATAAGTGTTCTGGAAGGATTTGGAAGTTGACATTCTACATATCTTAAACATATTTCTATTTTATGAACTTATTTTACTGTAGCCATTCCCCAGGTTATAAACGAAATGTGTTCCTTTAGAAGTTGAATTTATTGGAAAAGGCGCATACAGTTCTTATTTAACCTTACTTTAACACAAAAGGGGGCTCTGATAGCATAGTGCCTAAAGCATTTGACTGCTAACCAGAAGGCTGGCGGTTCAAACCCATCAGCCACTCCTCGGAAGGAAGGTTGGGCAATCTACCTCCATAGTGATACTACCTCGGAAACCCAAGAAGGGGTCTCTGTGAGTCAGATTCAACTCCACAGCAGTGAGTTTGGGTTTTTTTTAGCACAAGAAAGGAGCTCTAGTGGTGTGGTGATTAAAGCATTTGGCTGCTAACTAAAAAACTGGCAGTTCAAATCCACCAGCCACTCAGTGGAGAAAGATGAGGCCGTCTGCTTCCATAGACTTACAGCTTTAGAAACCCTATGAGGCAGTTCTACTCTGTCCTAAAAAGGGTCACAAAGAGTCAGAACTGACTTGATGGCAGTGGGCTTGGTTTTGGTGCAATAAGAGGCTCGAAGCCTTTTCAATGATTTAAAAGCTGCACATGCAAGTGCATGCACAGGGAAACAGCTCAGGCAGCAGGAGTGCATGGAAGGGAAGGACAAAGGGAAGAGGCAACTACTGGGAGGAAGTTACACTGTGGGAAATCGTAGTCAGTGTCCTGAGACAAAATGTGTATGAATTGCTGTATGGAAAATGAATTTGCTCTGTAAACTTTCACCCAAATCACAATAAAAATTTAAATAAATAAATAAAAGCTGTGCACACAACAAGTGAAAATGATTGTGAAGCATTTGTTTCTAGCAATCATTTCAAAGTGAAAGCAAATTTATATGACATTAAAAGGTAATTATGAGCTGTCCGTAATTATGGGTGTTCTTAACCTGGGAAATTACTTTATTCAGTTTTGGTTACTTCTTTTTCAAACTAATGATCAACTGTGTCTCTCTATCGAAATTTTCCCCTAAACAACAATAAACATCATTGCGTTTACTGGAAGTGTTAACTTTAAGAGTAACAAATACTAACTGATATTTTTCTAGATATGACAATAAATCATTACCATTTATATTGGTGAAATTCCTAATTTGAATACAGGTAGAAACTTGAAAGTATACAAAAGAAGTTCACATTTACTAAACACTCCCTATGTAGCAGGCATTTCATTGGATTAATTCATTTATGTGTGGTAAAGTAAGTTGATAAGAGTGAGTAATTTTATAATTAAAAAATAAAAAAAATTAAGAAAGATGACGGGAAATACTAGCTCTTACCAGAAAAGACATCAAATAAACTTGTTCCATCACCATTGTCATCATCTGCTGCCATGATCCTATTTCCTTTTGACAGTCGCCATCTAACATATTAAAATAAAAGATTTTCCACTGTTAAAATCAACCTCACCATTCAGAGAATGAGCTTAGCTCTAAAAGGCAACTTTCAAATTTGAACACACTGAGTAAGTTCACTCTCTAACATCCTTAAAAGCAGACCTGTGATTTCAAAAACAAAAAGCTAACATTTTCTAGGCTAAAAAAAGAAAATCTTAAGCTTGCTAATATGGTTAAGCCACATCACAAAGTAAATATATTAAAATAGACTAAAATACAAATTAACTTGGTACTAAAATGAGCCAAGAATCATCACCACTACCACCAAACATACACACTTATTAATTAATGCTAACAAGAAATACTCGTACAAAAAAATCACTTAGGCCTAACAGAATCATGGGCAAAGGACAGGGACAATTCATTTTAATAAGATACACATAAACGTGTATGTACACACACATACAAATAGCTTTTGAAACACACAAAAAGATGTTTAACTTCACTAATAATTAAAGAAATGCAAAATTAAAACAGTGAGATACCATGCTGTACTGAAGAAAGTTAATAAGGTAGGCCTGATTACTTATTCTTAAAAACGTCTCCTTAAGAAAGAAGAGCTGCTTATGCACAGGGAGACAGCTCAGGGCGCCGATGAGTATGGAGGGATGGACACTGGGAAGAGGTAACTATGGGGAGGAAGTGGGAGGGGAGCTGTTGCATTGTGGTAAACTGTGGTCAATGTCATGAGACAAAGTATATGTGAAATGCTGTATAAAAAGTGAATTTGCTCTGTAAGTCTTCACCCAAATCACAGTTTAAAAAAAAAAAAAAAAGTCTCCTTACAAGGTTGGCTCTTGTCTGCTGTCTGAAAATTTGGGATTTCAGAAGGGTTCTGACCATTCTCAGAACTGAAAAAAGGGCACTTTTTTTATGTGTGGTAAAGTAAGTTGATAAGAGTGAGTAATTTTATAATTAAAAAATAAAAAAAATTAAGAAAGATCACGGGAAATACTAGCTAATTACTAAACTGTTTATGCAAATAATATGATTTATGCCACAAAAAATGGATCCTGTTAGAACGGGAAAAAAGTGTGGAAAA